TCACAGCAGATGGCCCCGCCCCTCCCTGAGCCTGGTTCTGGTGCAGGTTTCTTCCTGTTAAAAGGGAGTTTTTCCTTCTCACTGGCGCTTGCTCATAGGAGGTCATATGATTGTTGGGGTTTTTCCGTTTTCTTTGTATTATTTACCTTACAATATAAAACACCTTGAGGCAACTGTTTTTGTAAGTTGGCTTTGTTCATCATGACCCCTCAGAAGGGACTCGATCCATGAAACTACTGGTCAACAACCTGCCTCAGCACAACATGGAAGCTCCTGTCAGTTATCACAGCAGCTAAGATGGCACATTGATCAATACATGAGCAGGAAGGAATGGGTACCACATTAACTACTGGAAGATAGAGCAGTCACTTCAGACTATAAGACCAAACTGACAAAACAGTGAAACACCTGGATTGACAACAAGAAAGCCTATAATTCAACAGAACCCTAAGAGCCTTCATCATGAACCCAATGCAACACACTAGAAGTCAACTCTCACAAGTCGCCATCAAGTGTGGGATTGACCAAGGAGATGCAGTATCTCCCTGGCTGTTCTGCATAGGCCTAAACCTCCACTAGGATCTACAGCAATGACATATGTTTCGGAGGTGTGGTCCCTGGCTCAGCTGCAGGGGAAGAGTGGTGCAGTGAGCCACAGGTGGTGGTGACAGACTGATGACAGTGTCTCTTTCCGTTTCTCTATATAGTGAAGGCAAAGTTGAGCGGGGACGGAGAGAGCTGGACTGGAACGACTGTTCCCTGAGTTCACAACTGTCAATAAAACGCAATTATAGTGAGCACGATCATCGTGTGCGTCGTGTACTTTTACAAGTGGCGCCGAAACCCAGGAGTGGGATGTCTGACCCACACGATGCGCTACCTACCCAGCCTGCAATGTTGTTGGCACAGATGCTGGTGGAATTGGCAACTATGTGTCAAGATCAGGTGGTGGCCCAGCGGGAGCATCTGATTAAGCTGCAGGAACACTCAGACCAGCAGACCAGGGTCCTTGAGCAGCTAGTTGGGGCTCCTGCACCGTCGAAGCCCCTGCCTCTATCAGTAGTGATGCAAAGGATGGGGGACGGTGATGATCCTCAGGTTTTTTTGGAGGCATTCCCTGAGCCTACTACCGCCCTCACAGAGCTGCGTCGCTGACATGAGCCAGGCTGTGTTGGAGCAGATGGGCCTCACCCAAGAAGATCATCGCCGGCGGTTCTGCACCTGCAGGCTGACTGGGGAGGATCATCCGCTGCCGGCGGAGACAGCTAAGTGGACGTGGTGGTCACACTGGTGGAGGATCACCTGGCCGCAAAAGCAAGGGAGGACTTGCCACCCCCCGCCACCTGGAAATTACCCCCACAGGAGATTTCCCACTGGAGCATTCTCTTGATGAC